ACCAGAGGACAACGTTGCTGTGGGCCTTTATCGCCCTCTCGAAGGGGCCCAGGGACACAAATGAACACGCAAATCCTGGGATTCCCCTTGTGCTCCATATTTCCTGGATGTTCGTCTTCCCAACCACTTCCCATAGTTTTCGTATCTTCCTGGGGGTCACCGGTCATGTGTGCCTACGTGTGTGCTCCCTTTCTGGAAAATCAGAAACAACGCTGATGTGGGCCGTCTCGCCCTCTCGCTTCCGATGGGATGCATCTAGATGGAGGGGAAGGATACGGGGACCATGACCAAGACTGCCCGTAGAAACATCGTGCCGATCGTGGTCACCGTCGATCTTTGCCAGCGTCGATTCCTGGATCAACCTCGGGAATCGGCAACGGCCGACATGGACAATGACCAAGATCGGTATCGATCAAACCCCGCGACATCTTCGCCAAGGACTCCGTGTTTCTTCCCTCGAGTAGGTCGAGACATAAAGATGGCTCCAAGATGGCCCAAGGAAGCCTCAGGAAGAGCCTATCAGGGCTCCAAGGCGGCATCGAGATCGTCCAAGAGCGCCCCACAAGCGACCCAAGATGGCCCCAAGAGAGCCCAGAGAGGGCACCAAAGGCTCCCCGGCCGCAGGGCCGCAAGAGAACCAAAGCCAAACGCATGGTGCCAAGAAGGACTCAAAGTGGCACCGAAAAGCTCCCAGAACGAAAAAAAACATCAGATTAGGATTTAATGGTTGAATCTTCGTCGTCGTCGCCTCCGTCCTATTCTTCCTCCCCTATTTACTTCTAATGTTCCGCCTCCTCCTCCTCCTTCTCCTCATCCGCATCCCTCCTCATCCTCATCATCCTCCTCTTCCTCCTCCTCCTCCTCTTCCTCCTCCTCCTCCTCCGATCTGGGATTCTCAGAAGTTGAGTGGGAGCATGTTGCTTCAAACTCGTATTCCTTCTGCTCTCCTTCGTCTGCCTTCCTGCTCCTCCTCCTCCTCCTTCTCCTGCTCCTCCTCCTCCTCCTCCACCTCCTCCTCCTCCTCAACCTCATCCGCCTCCTCATCCTCCTACTGCTCCTCTTCCTCCTCTTCATCCTCCTCCTCCTCCTCATCCTGCTCCTCTTACTCCGCCCGCGTCCTCCTCTTCATCCTCCTCCGTATAATATTCATCATCCTCACCATCGCCATCACCATCATCATCAGCATCATCATCAGCATCATCAGTATTATAATCATCATCACAATCAGTATCATCAGCATCAGCATCATCACCGTCACCATCACCATCACCATCACCATCACCATCAACATCATCAGCATGGTCATCATCATTATCAGTATCATCATCAGCAGTCTCATCATCAGCAGCATCAGCATCTGTATCAGCATCATCATCATCGTCCGCACCACCACCACCACCACCACCACAAGCGTCATCATCACCATCATCATCATCATCATCAGCATCATCACCATCAGCGACAGAGCAGCGTCAGCATCAGCATCAGCATCAGCATCATCATTATCAGTATCATCATCAGCAGTCTCATCATCAGCAGCATCAGCATCAGTATCAGCAGCATCATCATCGTCCGCACCACCACCACCACCACAAGCGTCATCATCACCATCATCATCATCATCATCATCATCATCATCATCACCATCAGCGACAGAGCAGCGTCAGCATCAGCATCAGCATCAACATCAGCATCAGCAGCATCAGCACGATCATCATCACCACCACCACTAGCATCATCACCATCATCCGCATAATCATTACCATCATCAGCAGCAGCACCACCACCATCATCATCAGCATCCTCGTCATCACCCCAACCATCGTCACCATCACCATCACCATCAACATCATCATCATCATCATCATCATCATCATCACCATCATCATGATCAACATCAGCATCATCATCATCAGCATCATCGTCATCATCACCAGCATCAGCATCAGCATCCCCATCATCAGCAGCATAATCAGCAGCAGCAGCATCATCAACAGCTCCACCATCTTCATCCTCATTATCAGCATAATCAAAATCATATGAATCAGCATCAGCACTAGCATCATCATCATCATCAGCAGCAGCATCATCATCACAAGCACCAGCATCATCATCATCAACAACGCCGTCATCCTAATCACCGGTATCAACAGCAGCATCATTATCATCACCATTACCGTCATCGTCAGCATCATCATCGTCGTCACCATCATCCTTATCCTCGGCCTCCTCTCCTCGCTCGACCGAACAACGACAACATATGCGGTCTACTCCTGGGTCCGCGCTTCTGAACCAAAACTTCGGATTCCATCTTCCTCCCTCCGTTTCCCCACTGCATGCTTCTACACTTCCCGGACCAAGGCAAATCGCATGAGCATCTTTGCTCGCTGGGCAGCTGGGAGCATCAATGTTCTTTCAAATATTGCAATACTGTTTTATAAGCGCGCTACTGGCATACATGAATCGACGTCCGCCCCATCGAATAGTTCCTAAAGCATACGCGTCGCGTGCCCGAGATTCTGCCGAAGGCCGCATGGGCTGCTCAGTCATTTGCAAGATCCGCCACCGTGACTTCCACACGCAGCGGAGTGCCCCAAGGCCCATGCATTTGGCTCGCTCTGGAAACCCTAAAGCCAAAACTGCCCACGCCTCCTTACTGAAGGGGCCCCAGGACACACAACAAATTACACACGAATAAAAAGAGTCCACATGTTGTCCCATATGTTCTGGGTTTTTGTCTTCCCCCCCACTTCCCATATTTTCCCATATTTTCTGGGGAATCGATGATTAATTGTGTCTGTGTTTTTTCCCCTCCTGACTTACTTCCGCCGCCTTTCGCAAACCATCTGCCAACTGCTTCCGACGACGGGCCCGCCGCCCGGCCGCTGCTTTCCTTCCGCCGGCTTCCACCAGCCTTCCGCAAGCTTCCGCTGGCTGACGCCCGGAGCGAGGCGCGCCTAAGGCGAGGCCCTTTCTAGAGCGCGCCATTCGAACTTGGGCTCAAGGGGCGCAGCCCCCCGGTTTCCAGGAGCTGCGGGCGTCTCCAGGCGCTTCCGGGGGGCGGCGCGCGCACCTCCTGGGAACGGAGCGCGCCCAAACGACCCCAAAATCCCGAAAACTTTCTCGCGACCCCCCGCCGCTAGCCTCAGAGAGCTCCCATGAGGCCCCTAGCACGCCCCAAGATAGTCCGAAAACGACCAAAGACGCCCGGGGAGGGCCCCAAGAGGAGCCCCAAGAGGGCCCTTAGAGGAGCCCACAGACAGAAGAGAGCCTGAAGACGGCCAAAGACGCCACTTGAGGGCCCCGAGAGGGCCCTATGAGAGCCCCACGGTCGAAAATCAGTGATTTCTTGTGCGCGTTTGAAAGTTAGTGCCTGGATCGCGCGTTCGAGATTCAGGACCCTCACGACGGCCCAAGAGGCCCCCAAGATTGCCCCAAGATGGCCCAAGAGAGCCCCAAACGGCCCAAGAGGGCTCAAAGACGGTCCAAGAGGACCCCAAAGAGAGCCCCCAGAGGGGCCCAAGAAAGGGAATTCGAACTGGCCTTGGCAGCCTTCAAGAGAGTCACCAAGAACCCGATCATGTCCCCGAGAGCCCCTCGGAAGCGCCCAAGATGCTTCAAGAAGCCTCTGACAGGCCTCCAAGGCCTCCAAGAGGCCCCCAAGAGGGCCCCAAGAGGGCCCCCAAAGGCCCCAAGAGCTCCTTAAGAGGCCTCCGAGAGGCCCTTGAGAGGCACGATAAGATACCACAGCAGGCATCCAAGAGGCTCCAGCCCACAAACCAGGCAGGGTGGCGGTTTTGCCCGACGGCGGTTCCCTATAAGTTGTAAGAGATAGCTGACTACACATATCGAATGAAGTCACGCAACTGTTTGGAGTCCATCTCGACGCCAGGGGGGTCTCAAGCAAGCGGGGAACATGGGGGAGTGCATGACCCAGGGGCCCGCCAGTAGCGTCGATACCCTACAGCGCACATGAACGGTAGTGCGTTGGCAGAGCGATGAGGGGGAAGAGGAGGATAGAGGATTGGAAACAGGAGGCGGAGGAGGAGAAGTTGAGGACGAGGCTGATTGAGAGAAAAAGGGACCAGGAGGAACGGGAGGAGGAATATGAGAAGCCCGCCCATCTCGAATGGGCGACGGGACAAGTGGGAAGACAGGCAACCAGCGTCATGCCAAAATGCAACCATTGTTTTGCGGGGCCGAACTCCGAAGCCGGTTAGGCACGCGCCACAGGAGTCACGAAGCTGTACACGATGCTCGGGTGCCGCACGCCTCTACAATCTGGCCTTGCACGGATCGGCCAAGAAATACATTCTGGCAACGTCCAAAAGAACAACAGCAACAAACAAGTATGAACGTTCGGAGCTCCGCGCGGAGCTCCTTGGATCGGCGCTGGTCCCCCTCCCCTGGCACGCGAAGCGAGCCAGGAATGGCCTGCCAGGAGCGGCGCTGGAGGCGCCGCCAGGAACGGGGGCCCCGCGCCGACGCCAGAAACCCGCGCGCACCTCCGAAGTGCCATGTTCGGGCCATGGCCCTTGTTGAATGTAATCGTCGTCTTGACGACCCGCGGTGGGGGAAGAAGAGAGAGGGAGGCTGCTCAACGGTGAGTGAAGGGAGATCCCATGGGCAACATGCGGCTCGCCTTGCGGTGCCGGAGGCGATGAAGGAAAGGCCCTGCGCTGGCAGGCGACTGCCTGGCAGGGGAGGCTGCCCCTCCGAACTGCCTGGGCTGACACTGCATAAATGACTACCTACCAGACCACCCCAACCCAACCCGAAGACCCGAATTTCGGGTTGGGGGGGGTAAGGGTTCCACATGTGTTTCTTCGATGTTTCCCGACCCCCCCCCCCACTGGAAATCGAGGGTAAATCTGAGCCTTCGGGTTGGGTTGGGGTGGTTTGGTGGGCGGTGAATAAAAAGAGACCAGCAGTGCTGCGGGAGCGTGCTGGTATCGTGGGCGTGAGGCGAGCGCGGCCCGCCTCGCGTGGGCGCGGGGCGGTCACTTCCTGAGCAGGTCCGCGAGCATCCGCACGTCCGGCTTCGACCAGCCCCACTGCTTCACCAGCGTCAGCTGGGCACCCTCAGCGACACCCGCCTCGCTCAGGGAGACGCCAGGCTGCGACATGTGCAAGATGTTGCCATTGACCATCAAGCGCACGGCAAAAGTCGGAATCTGGAATGCATCCGCGACACGTTCGCAGAAGTCGGGGACCTGAAATTAGCACGACGGGAAAGGGTTCTGGCGGAAACGGGTCCTCGTCAAGGGTCCCAGGGGCTCTCCCGCGAGCCAAGTGTCAATCCCGAGTCGTTTACTGTCAATCCGGGGTCCCAGGATCGCGAAAGCGGCGGGAAAAACCTCCAGGATCCATTTCCCTCAGGACCCATTTCCTCCTCATGGCGAACCCGAAGAATTCGCCCTGGACCTCTCCAGGGGACAGTTCCGACCAGAATTACGAGGCGGATTCAGCCGTGGCGACGAGAAACCTCCAGGAGGCAAAGAAGAATTTGAAACTATCAAGATCGTAATCCTCGAGCCTCGATCCTCGACTCTTCGTGGCGAGGCCTGCATCTGGTCCCAGAGCCCGCCAACTTCGACGCCGCGACCATCCAGGCCAACGACTGCCGCCGAGAAGAAGGTGGGCACCTCCACAGTGAGGGGCAACGATAAGAGGGGCTAGGCATAGTTACGTAAGGGGATGGATGCATCGGCCTCGCATGGCCGATGCATCGCCCATGTACCGTCGATGCATCGTCGATGCATCGCCCATGCACGTCGTTTGGCAGCGTGCCCTGATATCAACGATGCATCGTCGATGAATCAGTCACTCGAGGTCGATGCACCCCTCCCTGTGCCTATCCCCCTCTATCGGTGTGCCCGACGCCAGCGCCGCTCCGCCCAGGCGGCGCGCCGTTTGGGCCGAGGGCACGTCCGCGTTAGCTGGCCGAGGATCCAGTGGGGGCTCCCATCGGGGGCGGCCAAAAGGGGGGCGTCCAGGAGGGGGGGGCGAAAATAATGGCCGGCGGCATGTGCGCGGCCCAGGGGGGGGCAGGGGCGTCATGAAATCAGAAGAGGCACCATGAAATCCGCGGAAATACCATGGCCCACGCCATGATAGCCCCCCCCCCCCCTGGTCATCACCCCCCTGTTTGCCGCCCCCGACAAAATGCTTGGTGGCAACGCCGCCTACTGGGTCGGCCCTGCGCATCGGGCGGATCGCCGTCGGGCGCCTAGCTTCGGGACCCGAGGCGGGCCGCGCCCCGGAGAGGCCCGACGAGGACGGCGTCGTGCCACCCGGGCCCCCGCGTGCCGATCCCAAGCCAAACCCTGGCGTGACCATGCCCTCTGCAGCCGCGGGCATCGGCTCGGAACCCATCGGGGAGGCCCGGAGTCAAGTCGGGCACGTCCCCCTTCAGGCGAATTTTGGACGAAAACTGAAAAATAAGCCAAGAATACCCCTTGATGGCCAAAAATGGCACAAAACATCGTCCCCAGACTATCTTTTGACTCTTTTTGAATCTGCCCCCTGTAGAGGGACAGGCCCGACGTAAGCCCAGAGGTGTGCTGCATACGAGCCGCCACGCGGGAGGGCGCGCGGGTGCGGCCCGACGAGGACAGCGGCGTGCCACCCGGGCCCCAGCGTGCCGATCGCAAACCACACCCTGGCGTTAACGATACCCGGAGGAGGAGGAGGCGGAGGCGGAGGAGGAGGAGGAGGAGGCGGAGGAGGAGGCGGAGGAGGAGGAGGAGAAGGAGGAGGAGGAGGAGGTCCGCAGTCGCGGGCATCTGCTCGGAACCCAGCTGGGAGGCCCAGAGGTGTGTGCTGCAGGCGAGCCGCCACGCGGCAGGGCGCGCGGGCGCGGCGGGGCCTCGACGCACAGCGCCCGCCGGGCGATCTTTTGGCTTCCACGTCGGCGGGGCTGCCGGGAGCCATCCGGGGAGGCGAGGTGTCCCCACGGCAGCAAGTCGAGGCCTCGGGGGCCCGCGGGGTGAAAGAAGTCCACCCGTCGGAGCAGAGCTCTGGGCAAGAGTTCCGCTTTGGACGCCCGAACTGGGTACTCCAGATTTCGTAATAAAGGGAGGGGGCTCTCATTTCGGGGGGGGTCTCTTCCAGGCTATCTTGGAGGGCCTGGGGGGGTCTGGGGACGATGTTTTGGAGGGTTCTCCCACGGGGGGGGGGTCTGAAATGGCTTGTTTGGAGGGTCCAGACCCCCTCCCTTTTATTACGAAATCTGGAGTACGGAAAAAATGGGCACAACGCCCGACAACAAATGTTGTCCCAGACCAAAAGCGGCCGCTGTTGGGCAGGCGGCCTTCTGTCTCAAGTGGACACAGACCACGGCGGCGCGGACGGCGAGTCCTGGTCAAGATGAACAGGAACTGCTGTTGGGCATCGTACCCATTCTTTCCGTACCCATGTCGCTCGTGCAGATCCTCAATGTTCGCCATCTGGGGACGTCTCTGGGCCCGGGAGGTGAAAAAAACAGCTCACCAGCTCTGGGGAAGGGGTCGGGATCCCCAGGGGAGGGGATGGAGCGCGTCAAGAGAGAATACGACGTCGGAGGAGAAGGATTCGAGGTGGGCGAGTCGTTCTGGAACACACGTGATCCTCACTCAGCCAAGGAGGCCTCTACACCGATCCTAGGTCCAGGATCGGCCAGCCCGGCCATGATCAGAGGGAACAGCTGGAACCTTGTAAAACAAATGAGCGCGGCGCCAAGGCAAGAGAAACGTTTTGAAAACCACTCGCCCTCCATCGACTCAACAACCACCGCCGGGCCCCCTGGCACGTTGAGTCGTGGTAGAATGCCAAGTGCTCTGGCACGGTCTCTGTAACCTTTTGACGGACCCGCGCCCTGCCCGCACTCAGGGGCATGCGTCGATCCTCTCGTTTCCTCCATCAAAAAAACACGCTTCCGAGGTACGGCAGGTTCGTGTCGTGCCGACCCCGGCGTTGGTTTTTGACACCGCAGGGATCGTTCAACCTTGAACGATCGGCCGCTGCCGCAACGTCCGATCGTTCAACATCGATCGATTCTGGGTCGCCGGCGGCGTTCAACCTTGAACGCCCGCGCTGGGGTCGCCGACGGTCGACACGACGCGAACCTACCGTAACCATTCCTCGTGAGAAACTGGCGATCCGCGCTCCCGAGGCCACGATTCCCTGCACCAGACCAGGTGGTCTGCGTTCCCCTGGCCACGGCCCCGTGCGAGACCAGTGGCTCCGAGCAGCAGCTTCCAGAGCCGGCCGAGGCAGGCCACCAAGACCGCCAAGATGGCCTAAGATGCCTTCAAGGCGGCCCTAAGAGCCTCCAAGACCGCCAAGATGGCCTAAGATGCCGCCAAGATCGCCAAGATGGCCTAAGGATGCCTCCAAGACCGCCAAGATGGCCTAAGATGCCTAAGAGGCAGTCTGAGACAGTCTCGGTACAGCCCAAGAGGCCCTGGGGGGCGACCAGAGGACCTCCAGTAGGGCCCGCAGACGCTAAAATCGTCAGAGTGAGGTGGCCGAACGGTCACTCACGGTGCCTGGGGGCGTGGCCGAAGTGGGATTCCGCGGTGCGGGTTGTCCTTGATGTTGTTGCTGTTTGTTGTTGCGTGTTGTTGCTTGTCGGTGCTGGTGCTGTCGTTGTTGGTGGTGGTGGTGCTGGCGTTGGTGCCGTTGTTGTCGTTGCTGTCAGCGGTGTTGCTTAATGCTTGTTGTGTGGTGCGTTGTCTGGTGGTTGGTGCGTGTTGTTCTTTGTTGGTTTGTTGTTTGTTGGTTGTTTTCTGTTGTCGTCGTCCCACCCGCGACCCGACACGCGACCCACCCGCGACCCACCCGCGACCCACCCACTTACTTTGACGAAAAATTCGGCGCGTGCGGCGGGCTCGTTGATTAATGTATTGGAAAAATCGACGCCTGCGGCGGGCTTCTTCAGAGCCTCGCAGATCCCGCCACCCTCTCTCTCTCTTATCCGCAACTGCGGGGTGCTACATAGAGGTCCCTCGTGTTATTGGGAGGCGTGGCGTATTTCCTTCAGCTCCAAACGCTCCTACAGGCCTCCAGGATAGCCCAAAAACGGCCCCAAGAAGGCATCACAACGGCTCAATAATCCTCCCAGCCGGCCTCAAGACAGAACAAGAGGGCCGTATAGACGGCCCAGGACGGCCCCAAGAACGCCGCAAAATGGCCCAAAAAGGCCCACAAAGTGACCTAAGACCGCGTTAGAGGGCCCCACGACGGCCCGAGAAGGCCCCGAATCAGCCCCAAGACGGCTCAAGAGGCCCCCAAGGGACCCCCAAAACTGCCCCGCAGGAGCGCAGGACAACCCCCAAACGGCCCCAAATGAGCTCCTCCTCAACATGGCCACCGTCATGGTGGCTCTCATGGCACTCGTCCACAACGATGATCATCCTCATCTGTATGTTCTTACTCTTCTCCGCCTCCTCCTTCTCCTCCTCCTCCTCCTCTTCCTCCTCCTCCTGCTCATCTTCCTCCTTCTTTCCCCTGCTCATCACCGTGTCACTAATCCACCTCAGATGATCCAGAACAAGTTCAAGACGACTTTGGTGTGACATGCGACAGCGTTCTGACAGTTACTCCAACCGCCACTCGATTCACATGTGGCGACCTCCCGTCGCCCCTCGAGAAATTGCCTCCGAGAGTACTGGGCTGGCACGGTGGCGGGACTCGCCGCAGGCGTCTGGACAACAAACGCTGGGGAAGTATCAGAGCGAAACATATGGCCCGCATCACCGACGCGTCTGGCGGTGCGACAAGGAAAAGCAAAGGGCGTCCGACGGCTCAGAAGACGAGGAGGACCAGGATGAGGAAAAGGGGGACGGCGGTGAAGATAAATAATGAAAAAGAAGAGACGAGGACCTGGTGTTTTCCCCAGTTAGGCTTGTCTTACTTGGTTACAGGTTGGTGCCTCCTATTGTTACTTTGCCCGTTGCTCGAAGGTTCCTCGGGTTCCTCGGGTTCATAGGGTGCCTCGGGGTCCTCGGGTTCCCCGCCCCGGTGCCTCCTGTTGTTACTTGCCCGCTTCTCGGAGGCTCCTCCGCAGAGCACTGCGAAGCAACGCCTCCTTGAAGTGCAGCGCACTGCCGAGCAAAGCCGAGCAGTGCGCACGTGCAGTAGGAAACTTTCCCCTCATTGGGGACGCGCTGGATTCATTACTTGAGATCGTCGTGTGCCACAGCCTGACGCGTACGGGCGCCAGGTGCGCGCAGGCAGGGCCAGTGCCCGAACTGCCAAATCCTGCGGACGTATTCAGCTCCCGACGCGGGCAACCGCCGCGCCCGGGAGGCGTTGTGAATGCAGGAAGAGGAGGAGGAGGAGGAGGAGGAGGAGGAATGTTCAAGGCATAGAAAAGAACGTTACCTTGCAAAGATGGTTCGGCACGACAGTGGTCTGGTTGCCCACTGTGGGGTGAGCAACAGTAGAGCCCGGACATACTGCACACGCAAGCTATGCCCGCGCGCCAGGGAGTTCCCTGCGATGTCTGGCCCACGAGCGAAGATGGACCTGGCGAAGCGCTGGAGGCGCGCACGCACAAAAGCCGCTTCTATCGCATGCGTGGCGATGAGATGGTAGTGGGGGAACCCCAGCCCCACGAGTTCACAGATACAAACGCCACAGGCTTCAGGGTGGAGGTTGAAAC